CTGTGACTGATATGCTAAAGTCTCCAAGGGTGAAAGCAGAACATAGATCATGCAGGAGTGTGTGTGTGTGTGTGTGTGTGTGTGTGTTATACAGAGGAATAATAATTTTGAGAATCAAAACAAAATTCTAGAAACCTAAGTGCAGTAGCAGATATGAAGCTGGTCTTTGATAGATACATTGGTAGACTTCAGAGAGCTAAGGAAAGAACCAGTAAGTTTTAACACAGTTCAGTAGAGTCTTCTGAAGCTGAAATAGAAAATAAATAAATACAGGAGGAAAAAACAGCTGAGCAGAATATTCAGAAGTTGTATAAAATGCAAAAGGTATAACATTACATAATTTTAATTGCAGAAGTCAAATAGAAAGTAGATGTGATGAAATATTTGAATTAACAATTACTGAGAGCTACTAAAATTAAAGACAGATATCAAACCAGAGATTTAGAAAGCTCAGAAGACACGAGGCAGAATACTTCCAAGAAAAAAAATATGACTTCAAGGCATATTATATTTAAGCTTCAGAAAACTAAAAACAAATAGAACACCTTTATGAAATTCAGAGGTAATGGTGAGGAATAAAAGAACCTTTCTTATAAAGGAACAAGTATAAAAATTAGAGCAGACTTCTTGTCAGAAATTACTCAAACAAGAAAGAAAATCATTATAGGAAAGTGACAAAAAATAACACCGATAAGTCTATATTCAGTAAAATTGTACTTCTCAATTGATAAAACCTAAGCACTTTGAAAGATACACAGAAGCACAGTGATACAGTTCTTCATTCCCACTGGCATGGCCTTAATCAAAAAGGCCTAAAAAATGCTTTGGATAAAGTGGAACCTTCATACACTTTTGATGGGAATGGAGCTACCTTTGAAAATAGTCTGGGAGTTCCAGAGAGACTGACCATGCAACAATGCTACTACTCCCCTAGGAATGTACCTGAGGTAATTGAAAGCATACATATATTCACAAATGAATCTGTGCACGGATTTTCAGAGTAACATTATTGGTAATGGACAAAAGTAGAAATCACCCAAAAATCCACCTATCAAATTATAGTAAATTATGATATAAGCATAGAGTAGAATAATATTCAATAATAAAAATAAAATAAATACATGCTACAGCATGGTTGAACCTAGAAAAAATTATCTTAAGATTTTAATTTAATATACATGATATATCCAGAATAAGCACATTTATACAGACAGAAAAAAAATTATGGGCTCATAGTGATGAAACTGGTGAGAAAAAGTAGAGCACTTTGGTATTTGGTTTCTTTTTGGAGTGATGAGAATGTTATGGAATTAGATAATGTTGATGGTTGTACAAGTCTGTGACTATGCTAAATATATTCAATCTTATAATTTTCAATAAATACTTTATATCTCAATAAAGCTATTAAAAACAATGAAAGAAATAAAATAAAGCATGATCATATAAAGTGCTCAAGTAAAGTGAGAAAAGGCAGAAACATAAACCTCTGGTAATAGTCAATATTAATCAAAATATATAAATAATCACTTTAAATGTAAGGGGTTTAAAGAACCAGTTAAAAGACAGAGCTTATATAAGTGGTTAAAAGAACATGTCTTTATTTTCCTTTTGTTAAGGCACTAGAGATTAAACCTAGGATGTCTTAACACTGAGCTATATTCCCAGCCCTTTATATTTTTATTTTTTAATTTTGAAACAGTCTTAGTAAGTTGCTGAGTTTGGTCTCAAACTTGTGATCCTCCTGCCTCAGCTTTCTGAGTAATTGAGAGTACAAACATGCATCACCTGGTACAAGTATATGTTTTCTGAAAGAATTCATAATAAATATATAAACTGAAATGGGTAAATGGATGGAGAAATAATTTATACATGAACACTGATCAAAATAACATCAGAAAAGGAAGAATTTAGAACAACAAAATTTTTCAGAAATAAAGCATGGTATTACATCAAAATAAGTTCAGTTCTCCAATAGTTATACCAATCACAAATCTGTGTGCACAACACAACAGAGCATCAAAATATACGAGGCAAAAATTATGAAAGGTAAGGGAAATAGATAAACAGAGAATAATATTTGGAGACATCAATACATCTTGTAACTTATAGATCCAGCAGGGACAAAATCAATAAGGATATAGTTGACCTGAACACTACTTGTCAGTCAACTTGACTTAATTGAAATTTATAATGTTCTATTTAACAACAACAGAATACATCCTCTCAAACTTGTAGGAAACATTCACAGAGACAGAAAATATTTTGTCCATAATGCCTTAACAAATTTGAAAAAATAGAAATTGAGCAAAATGTGTTCTCAGACAACAATATGATTAATTTAGAAGTCAAAAACAGAAGCTGGACTATCCCAAAACATTTGGGAACTTAACAATGCAATTCAGATAAAACAAGAGTCAAAGTAAAGGTCTCTAGAAAAATTTATATTTTAAAATAAATTAAGAAAAACTGACAATTTAAGATTATTTTGTGAGGCAGTAAAGATAGTACTTTATGGGAAATGTATAACATTAAGAGTGCATATTAGGAATATAAGATTGAAAATCAATAGTTTATGCTTCCATGCCAGGAAGTTATAGAAAGAACAGGCATTCAAGCCAAAGACAAGTAGAAGAAAAGGAACATAAACTTAGAACAGCAGTCACTAAAATTGTAAACAGCAAAACAATAGATAAAATCTTTAAAGTCTAAAGGAGTTGGTTTTAAAAGATTAATAAAATTATTATTCCTCTAAACCAAACTTTGTAACAGATAAGAGAGAAGATAAAAAAAATACAAAATCAGAAAATTATCAGCAATCATCAGTATTGATTTCTGGATAGTAAAAAGGTTAATAAAGAAATACTAAAAATAATTCTGTACTAAAATTATGAAAAGTGAAAGGGAAAATTCCCTTCAAAGAAACACTAGGATAGCTTATTTCAATAGGTCTGTATTTTAAAAAATTGAATTGATGACTAATAACCTTTCAAATTCATAAAAAACAAGCCCATATTATTTCCCTGATGAGCTTGTTTAAGGAATAAATAAACCAATTGTCCATGATCTACAAAGTAAAAGCAGACAGATATCTTCTTAATTTAAGAGGTCAGCATTACTCTAATATTAAGACTAAATAAAGTCATTACAAATAGAGAAAACAATAGCACACTTTATCTTCTATACCCATATTTAAAATGTGCAAAATATCAGCAAATTGAATTAAAAGTATGTAAAATAGTGATATATAAGAAACAAGATGGATTTCTTCCAGAGATGTAAGGTTGATTTAGCAATTTAAAACTCAATCAATGCAATCAAGCATGTGTACAGACTGAAACAATCCACTGATAATACCAGTAGGCATAGAAAAATCGTTTGACATGGCCAGAGCTCCATTCATTATATTTTCTACAACCTAGAAAAAGAAGAGTTTCTTCAATAGGCTGAGAACAGTTAAAAACTACTGGAGCTAACTTCTTAGTTAATTGTGAGGAAACACATACTTTTCCTGTAGGTCAAAAATGATTCAAGGCTATTAAATTGTATCACTCCTACTCATTATTCTGCTAGAGATCTTACAAAGTAGAATAGAAAAATTAAAAGAAATAAAGGGCATATTGATCAGAAAACAATATAGAAAACTTTCTCTATGGGTAGGTGATGTGATTGTCTATGTAGACAATCTTGAAAGAATAAATAACATTAAAAAGCCCTTGGACATAAAAATATATATAGTTCAGATTACATAATTAATGCAAAAAAATCAATTGCTTTCTAATAACCAGAAATAAACAATTGGAAACTGAAGAAAACATAACACTTAAAATAATAGCAGGAAAAATGAAATACAAAGATAGTAACCTAAAAAATGTCTTCAGGATCTATATTTGAAAATCTATGAAACAATGGTTAAAAATATCAAAAGGAAGATCTAATTAAATCCAGAGATAGTCTACATTTATCCGTCTGAAGACTCAGTACTGTTAAAATGTCGATTATTTCCAAGCTGTGCTATAAAAACTAGATTTTGTAAAAGAAAATTTAAAAAATAAAAATAAAAAAGAATATCAACAGAGACCTTAGAGTTTTCACAAATATTAACTCAAAATACATCATGGATTAAAAGGTAAAATGCACCTATAAAAATTCTTTAAACATAAGAAAAAATCGACACTAATTTATTTGGTCATAAATTCATAAATACAATATCAGTAGCATAATCTATGAAGGAAAAGTTAATATAATGAAGTTTATTAAAATTAATATCTTCTGTTCTATAAAATACACCATTAAGAGAATGGGGGGGGGGCAAAGAATGAGAGAAAACATTACAAATGCATATCTAATAAAAGGCTTGAATCCATACCATTAATAGAATACATACAAAAACTCTAAAATAAGAAAACAAATGTCCTAATTAACTATACTATAATAGTATATTAATTATATTAAATATTGTATGGGTATTGTAGTATCTTTTAAATAAATACAAAACTCTAAAACTAATATTTTTTTTTTCAGTTTGTTGCAAAAATCTGAGTAGAGAGGTTAAAGAAGGACAAATTATGACCAACCATTGACTGCTCCTAACTTCTCATTTTCCAAAGCAGAATTGGAGCAGCTATACAGCAAAGATGAATTAGTCAGATGGTGTTATTCAAGCATGCAAAGGAAGATGGACCCAACAGCTTTGCCATCTTCTATCCATTGTTTCGTTTCAGACACTGACATGGATCTATTAAGTAACTGCTAGCCATAAAGACATATGTAGCTCAAGCTTGATACATGGGTGAAGAGCAGTGTGGGATTCATAACACACCTCATGTTGTGTTTTAAGATGTCCACCTGTTAACCATAAAGTGAAAACAAAATAATGAAGTATGAATTCAGTATACAGAAAATAATTATACATGAAAACTATCTAGGACCAAAGCCCGAGCGGGAGACCCTGGCGGCGGCGGCGCCTGACACTCGCGCCTCCTGCCGTGCTCTGGAGCGGCATGTCCGAGGCTGGCGGGGCCGGGCCGGGCGGCTGCGGGGCAGGAGTCGGGGCAGGGGCCGGGGCCGGGGCGCTGCCCCCTCCGCCCGCAGCGCTGCCGCCCGCGCCGCCGCAGGGCTCCCCCTGTGCCGCCGCCGCCGCCGCCGCCGGGGGCTCGGGCGCCTGCGGTCCGGCGACAGCAGTGGCTGCGGCTGGCACGGCCTAAGGACCGGGAGGCGGTGGCTCGGCCCGGATCGCGGTGAAGAAGGCTCAGCTGCGCTCCGCCCCGCAGGCCAAGAAACTGGAGAAACTCGGAGTGTACTCCGCCTGCAAGGCCGAGGAATCCTGTAAATGTAATGGCTGGAAAAACCCCAACCCCTCTCCCACTCCCCCCAGAGCCGATCTGCAGCAGATCATTGTCAGTCTCACGGAATCCTGCCAGAGTTGTAGCCATGCCCTAGCTGCTCATGTTTCCCACCTGGAGAATGTGTCAGAGGAAGAAATGAACAGACTCCTGGGAATAGTGTTGGATGTGGAATATCTCTTTACCTGCGTCCACAAGGAAGAAGATGCAGATACCAAACAAGTTTATTTCTATCTCTTCAAGCTCTTGAGAAAATCTATTTTACAAAGAGGAAAACCTGTGGTTGAAGGCTCTTTGGAGAAGAAGCCTCCATTTGAAAAACCTAGTATTGAGCAGGGTGTGAATAACTTTGTCCAGTACAAATTTAGTCACCTACCATAAAAAGAAAGGCAAACGATTGTTGAGTTGGCCAAAATGTTCCTAAACCGCATCAACTATTGGCATCTGGAGGCACCATCTCAACGTAGACTACGATCTCCCAACGATGATATTTCTGGATACAAAGAGAACTACACAAGGTGGCTGTGTTACTGCAATGTGCCACAGTTCTGTGACAGTCTACCTCGGTATGAAACCACCCAGGTGTTCGGGAGAACATTGCTTCGCTCAGTCTTCACTGTCATGAGGCGACAGCTCCTGGAACAAGCAAGACAGGAAAAAGACAAACTGCCTCTTGAGAAACGAACTCTAATCCTCACCCATTTCCCAAAGTTTTTTGTCCATATTAGAGGAAGAAGTTTATAGTCAAAACTCTCCTATCTGGGATCAGGATTTTCTTTCAGCCTCTTCCAGAACCAGCCAGCTAGGAATCCAAACAGTTATCAATCCACCTCCTGTGGCTGGGACAGTTTCATACAATTCAAACTCATCTTCTCTTGAGCAGCCAAATGGAGGGAGCACCAGTCCTGCTTGCAAAGCCTCTTCTGGGCTTGAGGCAAACCCAGGAGAAAAGAGGAAAATGAATGACTCTCACGTTCTGGAGGAGGCCAAGAGACCCCGAGTTATGGGGGATATTCCTATGGAATTGATCAATGAGGTCATGTCTACCATCACAGACCCTGCAGCGATGCTTGGACCAGAGACCAATTTTTTGTCAGCACATTCGGCTAGGGACGAGGCAGCAAGGCTGGAAGAACGGAGAGGTGTAATCGAGTTTCATGTGATCGGCAATTCCCTGAACCAGAAACCAAACAAGAAGATCCTGATGTGGCTGGTTGGCCTACAGAATGTGTTCTCCCATCAGCTGCCCCGAATGCCAAAAGAATACATCACACGGCTTGTCTTTGACCGAAACACAAAACCCTTGCTTTAATTAAAGATGGCCGTGTTATTGGTGGTATCTGTTTCCGTATGTTCCCATCCCAAGGATTCGCAGAGATTGTTTTCTGTGCTGTAACCTCAAATGAGCAAGTCAAGGGCTATGGAACACATCTGATGAATCATTTGAAAGAATATCATATAAAACATGACATCCTGAACTTCCTCACATATGCAGATGAATATGCAATCGGATACTTCAAGAAACAGGGTTTTTCCAAAGAAATTAAAATACCTAAAACCAAATACGTGGGCTACATCAAGGATTATGAAGGCGCCACTTTGATGGGATGTGAGCTAAATCCCCGAATTCCATACACAGAATTTTCCGTCATTATTAAAAAGCAGAAGGAGATAATTAAAAAGCTGATAGAACGAAAACAGGCCCAGATTCGTAAAGTCTACCCTGGACTTTCCTGTTTTAAAGATGGAGTTCGACAGATTCCTATAGAAAGCATTCCTGGAATTAGAGAGACAGGCTGGAAACCAAGTGGAAAAGAGAAAAGTAAAGAGCCCAAAGATCCTGACCAACTGTACAGCACCCTCAAGAGCATCCTCCAGCAGGTGAAGAGCCATCAAAGCGCTTGGCCCTTCATGGAACCTGTGAAGAGAACAGAAGCTCCCGGATATTATGAAGTTATAAGGTTCCCCATGGATCTGAAAACCATGAGTGAACGCCTCAAGAATAGGTACTACGTGTCTAAGAAATTATTCATGGCAGACTTACAGCGAGTTTTTACCAATTGCAAAGAGTACAACCCCCCTGAGAGTGAATACTACAAATGTGCCAATATCCTGGAGAAATTCTTCTTCAGTAAAATTAAGGAAGCTGGATTAATTGACAAGTGATTTCTTTTCCCTCTGCTTCTTAGAAACTCATTGAGCAGTGTGCCTAAAGCAAGGTGGTTTAGTTTTTTAAAGAATTGGATGATATGTTGAAGAGACTTGTAAATGTAATAATTAGCACTTTTGAAAAACAGAAAAACCTCCTTTTAGCTTTCAGATATGTATTTAAATTGAAGTCATAGAACATTTTTATTTTATGGAATAGATTTTAATCTATTTACTACTATTATGTAAATTTTCTATGGCATGTCCGTTAGCCAACTATTCCATGATAGATGATCAGGTGTTTCCTCAAAACCTGTATGTGAGGAAATTGCACATAGTACCATGATTTGGGGGAATCTAGAAAATTTTCAGACCATGAATGTTTCCATTTTTTTCTAATGGAATGTGAGAGTTTATTTTTATTTTATTCTGAAGGACTTTAAGGAAGGGATACATGATAAAGAGCCCTGTAAAAGGTTAAATATGTGATGTTGAAGTCTCATTGTAGACTTTTTATATATATATATTTTTAAAACACTCATCTAGATGAGGTGCTTTGAGCAGTTCTGAAAAATGCAGTTTCACAAAAGCAAACTGCTTTGATTCCTAAGGAACAAATTCTAAATAATGCAAACTTTTTATAAGCATCTGGGGTTTTGATAATTCTGTGTACCTACAACAAATTTGTGAGTGTATAACCACTATTTCTATAATTCTTTTCTCTACATAAAAATGTAATATCATGTTGACTTAGCTTATGCAGGCCATAAGTTCCAAAAGATAATTTCCTAGGCCACAAAGGCATACACTTGAAAACACTTGAGATCAAATCAATGTGCTTTAATAGGAAAAGATGTGATAGTCAATACATCTATCAATCTGGTGAGTCTTTGCTCTAATAAATGAGGATTTTTTCCTCTTTTTGTGATACACACAACCCCACCAAATAAAGACTATGTGAATCATTTTCTTTTTGGATCTCCAGATTATGTTTATTGTTTGAGGTGAATTAAGTTCCCACCAAGGTTTGCTGTCAGTATTTTAACACCTACATCGCTGTATGGGTCCAGGGTTCTATCCCACTGAAATCCATCACACGGTCTTACTAACTAACCTGTCTTGGGATTCCAGCTTAGTGCTTGGTTTTATTTACTGATTACACTACATAGAAAAGTGGGACATCTGCCACCCCAACTCTGGGAAAACCAACTAATATACCACCATATAAATGAAGGCCATCTGGATGGTTTCGACACTAATTTTTATGATGCAAATTTATAAACTGATTTTGTAAAGGACGAGGTTTTAAAAATGTAATTTAACTTATGTTTTCTATCAGCATAAATTAAAATGGGTCATCAGTAGTCATTAAAAACAGTTGTCAGAAATAATCTGTATGAAGGAAAAAAAACTTGCAAATGACTATTAAGTTGGAAGTATTGTTTTTGATGTATAAGGGATGTTCAGAATGCTCACATTTGAAAAACTCCTCAACTTTTTTTTTTTAGTATAAGAAACCACCTTGAGTGGTGTCTAGATTTCTAATGAAGAATGATGATACAGTTTGGAAAAGTATCTTGGACTGGTTTTAAACAGAGCTTTGTACCGGATTTGCCGAAGCATCTGTTCAGCTTGGTATCCTGTGAAAGTTTGTTATTTTCTGGGTAGACATTCTTATAGAGTATTGTCTTTAAAATCAGATTGTCTCTTCTATATTGAAAGCATTTTTATGTTTTCTAATTTAAAAATTAATATTTTCTTATAGATACTGTGCAATAAAGCTGAAGTAGAATTGTGGTTTTTGCAAATGCTTTAACAGCTGATAAAATTTTACATTTGTAAAATTAATATATTGTACTGGTACAAAATAGTTTTAAATTATATTTTAAAAATCAAAAAAAAAACTATCTAATAAATATTGTTGTATTGAGAATTTCATTATCCTGGCTCTGAGTGTCATAGTTTGGTAATACTGTACACAGATTATTGGGAAAACTCTAATGAAGGGATATTTAAGTATTATTAGTTTATGTTTTAAATTATGTTGTCTAAGCTAACATGATTCATAACTGGATAGGGAAATACTTAGTATCTGGAAAAAAATTGGGATGCTTTTGCTACAATACTGAAGACAATGACATGAGTAATGATATTAGTAGCAGAAATGGACTAAGTGGGGAAGGAGAAAATACTGTCCAGCACTTTGGTAACTTACTGAAAATAGAGTGGAGTGTGAGCCAGATGGTGAAATTAAGGAATCTGTTGTCTTTCCTTTTACTGTTTCTTGACAAGCCCTCTATCTAGAAAGCCATGCTGGTGGATCATAACTTAGGTATCTAAGTTATGTTATGCTTTGGACTTAATGAGATTGGTCCACAGGGAAATTCATGAGATCTTTATGTTGTGACAAAGTGTTCATTAGCCATGGTAATAGCTGATTTTAGAGATCATTTGTTTTCTGTGAAAAGGAAAAAAAATATACAACGTGTTTAAGTGATTGTGCTGATGTTCCGTTTTGACAATAATTACTACACAATTGTGAAAATTGGTCATTTGCAAACTGTAATGACATATCTTAATCCAGTAATAACTGCAAATGTACTCCATTACATGTGTAATTGGCAGTAATCTGAATCGAGGACTGGTTCACAGGCATCAGTTGAAGGACAAAATTCTCATTTCCTAGATGTATAGTGTTCCTTGAAATAAATAGCCAGATAATTCTAGTTATGGAACTATACATTATTTCTTAGCAATATTAATATGCATTTCTTTACAAGGTTCACATTTGTATTCAACTATCTGAAAAGAGTAGACAGTTGGTTTAATGAAATTCTTGTCATTTATATCAAGGTTAAAGATATGCACTGCTTCATGCCTCAGATATGAAGTTCAACAACCATTTTTATTGCCAATGTCGTACCTTTAAATCAATGTAATGTAATGAAGACTTCATGAATATTAAACCCATCACCCACCAAAAAAATGGTCTAATAACAGTCAAGCTGTTCCAGGTCAGTGTGATGACCAACTTCATGGACTCTTAAGGAAATTGCCACAGCAATGAGAAATGCTCTCAGAAACAGGAAACCAGTGAGGAATATTTCTTGTGTCCACCATGTTAGTAACATTAGTTCTCTCTCTTAAAGTTGGGCAATCAAATATGCTATAGATGATCATAGCACTAAAAATTTTGTTGCAAATGCTTTTATTTTAATTGAAGTTTAATGGCAAAAGCCAGATTTGTGCATTTTATTTTGTATTTTTAAACTATTCACACAAATAATGGATTAATATGTAAGTATATAAATATTCTTTGGATAAGTCTAAAATTCTCTCTGACCACAATTCCTAATAGGATTCCTTGCCCACTTTCAAGAGATAATCCTTATTTTCATCTTGATGCATATTTCACACTCCTTTTTCTAAAGTTTATGCACACATAGCACACACCTTTTCAAAACATTTCATAAAGTATATTCATGTACACAAAACATTAGAAGGATTTAGAAAGCATGCATGCATCTTTTTGTGTATGTATGTGGGAATGACTTAATCTGGTAGCTTCCTTATGAAATACATGCTGTAAATAGTAGGACAAGTAAGGCAAGGAAATTTGTATTAGAATGTCATTGTTCCATAATAGCAAAAATTGTGAAACAGTATATATGCCTGTTAGTAAAGGAGTGGTTAACATATTCCAATACTTATGGGCATACATATATTTTGAAATATATATAATTAAATAATGTTTCATAACTATTCAATTAAGAAGTCTTTTATATGTATGTTGACATGAAAAATTACAAGTTTTTTTTAAAACACAGTACAGTAACTATATATTATATTTGCTTTGAGAGACACAAATTTTACTACAGTATGTCCATGCATAAATGGGTAAAGAATCTGTGGAGGCAATGCATGTGTAATAGGACATAAGACTAGATAATATTGACATGCTTAATAATTTTGTTGAGAGTTTTCTGACTCTATTTGTAATTTCTTTTTAAAAAGCGTTGCTCCCTGGAGGTTTTAATCATAACACGTATGTGAGCAGGTAACATTTTTAAGTTTAACTTAGAGTTCATGCTAAAGAGGGAATACATGACACAAAGTCTTAACAATGGAAACAAGATAGAAATTTATTGCAGTGATATCTGTAGCAAGTGATGAAGGCCCACTCCTAGCCCTGGCACACAAATAACACTAAAAAAGAGTACATTGATTCAGTGAATGTCAAAATATTTTTGTCTACACACTTCTCAAAGAAGAAAGACAAATGGCCAACAGATATATAAAAAATATTCAATATCATTAGCAATTATGTAAATGCACATTAAAACTACACTGAGATTTCATCTCACAAGAGCCAGAATGGAGGTCCTCAAGAATACAAACAATAATCAATGCTGGAGTGCATGTGGAGAAAAAGGAACACTTTTACACTGTTGGTGGGTTGTAAACTTGTACAACCATTATTGAAATTTGTATGGTATTTCCTCAAAAGAGTAGACATGAAACCACCATATAACCCTGCTGTACCATTCCTCAGAATTTATCCTGAAGAATTTAAGTCATCATACTGCAGTGATACGTGCATACTCATGTTGATAGCTGCACAATTCACAATAGCTTAACTATGGTACCAACCTAGGTGTCCATCAAGAGATAAATGGACAAAGAAAATGTGGCATATATATATATATATATATATATATGTATGTATGTATGTATATATATACACACACACAAATTAGAGTTTCACTAAGCCATAAAAAAATGAAATTATATCATTTCCTCAAAACATGTAGAACTAGAGACCATCATGTTAAGTGTAATAAGTTGAACTCAGAAGGTCAAGGGTTGTATGTATTTTGAATGAAGAAGCTAAAGCAGAAATAAGAAAAGAAAGGTGGGGGTGGATCTCATGAAAGGGAGCTCAATAGAGGAAAGGGACCAAGGAGTGGGAAGCAGGAAGGAGGAAGAAAATGCTGGAGAGTGATATTGGCCAAATTGTATCATTATATTCTGTGCATGTACACATATGTAACAACAAATCCCACCGATATGTACAAATATAATGCACCAATAAAATGTAGAAAATGCTTTTTATTTTTGATATAAAAAGTAGAATTTTTATGCTTTTACAACGAATGATGATAAAATAAAATGTAGAAAATGCTTTTTATTTACTATATAAAAAGTAGAATTTTTATACTTTTACAACTAATGATCCTACTAAGTAATCAAAAATTTCTTTTGTCTAAATTATGTGTAAAAAGACAACTGAAAACAATACAAAATTTCAAGGTATATAAGACTTCACAAATCAAGTTTAAATATTTCAAATATATAATTGAATATCTTAAATATACTATTAATTTGGAATGGTATGTAATACCTTGCAAGCACAAGTATGGAAATAACATCTTGATATTTTGATTATATGCTAAAACTTTGTCTTACAACTATTTTACTATTTGTATTTGCAATCATTTATGCAGTGAAATATATTTATTTTTTCCCTTTTAAATATTGTATGGCAATATTTTCCACAGTTCACTAGTTTTTTTTTTTTTCCTTTTACCTTTTTTCTTTTGCTACTGGGATTGGATTCAGGTGTGCTTCCCCACTGAGTCATTTCCCAGCCTTTTCTTTTTCTTTTTTTCTTTTTCTCTTTTTTTATACATGGGCTCACTCACTAACTTGCAGAGACTGGCTTTGAACCTGTGATCTTCCTGTCTCAGTCTTCCAAGTGGCTGGGATTACTGCTGTGTACCAAGGCACTAGGCTTCACTAATTTTTATTTTAATAGAAACAACTTCCATGTTGGTTCCACAAATTCATTTATTAACCTATTTATATGCATGACTTAATGTCTATTATTTTATTTTTCTATCTAGGAGAAGAATTCAAATTCTAAGTGAAAAAAATTTG